TTGATTCAACTATTCTTTACTTATGTTAACAATAATTGCTTTAATCGCACAGAGAGAAAGAGCAAAAGGTCGATTAAGGTGTTGACTGTATTTGCGAGCGAGTGAATCAGACATGAAATATTATAGATTACGGAAATTATTGTCATTTCGAGCGCGATTTAAATTCAATGAGTTTTTTTTTTTTGTTGTTGTTGTTACGTATTCAATGGACAATGTAGCAAAAAAAAAACAAAAGCAGTAACAACGACGACAAACTAATATCGCTGCAATTATTATTATTGTTTCGTAACCTTGGTTCGGTTGCCATCGATATATTCCGTTGTCCGCAATTTTGGATTACTGTTTGTTTTTGTTGTTGTTGTTGTAGAAATCTATCAGCAATTGCTCGCACAGTGCGGGTATTTTGCTATATCCGCACTCAATGGACAATGTAGCAAAAAAAAAACAAAAGCAGTAACAACGACGACAAACTAATATCGCTGCAATTATTATTATTGTTTCGTAACCTTGGTTCCGGTTGCCATCGATATATTCCGTTGTCCGCAATTTTGGATTACTGCTTTGTTTTTGTTGTTGTTGTTGTAGAAATCTATCAGCAATTGCTCGCACAGTGCGGGTATTTTGCTATATCCGCACTGATCGAAATCGCACTATGCAAGACCATAAATTAAATATTTAACCATTGATTGAACTATATTGTTTACTCATGTTAACTAAAACGATAAATTTAGATTTAGTTTACTTTTCCAATCTAAATCATCTATAATTTCGATAATTATAACTTAACGATTGATTCAACTATTCTTTACTTATGTTAACAATAATTGCTTTAATCGTACACAGAGAGAAAGAGCAAAAGGTCGATTAAGGTGTTGACTGTATTTGCGAGTGAGTGAATCAGACATGAAATATTATAGATTACGGAAATTATTGTCATTTCGAGCGCGATTTAAATTCAATGAGGTTTGTGTTTTTTGTTGTTGTTACGTATTCAATGGACAATGTAGCAAAAAACAAAACAAAAAGAGTAACAACAACGACAAACTAATATCGCTGCAATTATTAATATTGTTTCGTAACCTTGGTTACGGTTGCCATCGATATATCCCATTGTCCGCAATTTTGTTTTTTTTTTGTTGTAGAAATCTATTAGCAATTGCTCGCACAGTGCGGGTATTTTGCTATATCCGCACTGATCGAAATCGCACTATGCAAGACCACAAATTAAATATTTAACCATTGATTGAACTATTGTTTACTCATGTTAACTAGAACGATAAATTTAGATTTAGTTTACTTTTGCAATCTAAATCATCTATAATTTCGATAATTATAACTTAACGATTGATTCAACTATTCTTTACTTATGTTAACAATAATTGCTTTAATCGCACACAGAGAGAAAGAGCAAAACGTCGATTAAGGTGTTGACTGTATTTGCGAGCGAGTGAATAAGACATGAAATATTATAGATTACGGAAATTATTGTCATTTCGAGCGCGATTTAAATTCAATGAAATTTGTTGTTGTTTTTGTTGTTGTTGTTACGTATTCAATGGACAATGTAGCAAAAGAAAAAACAAAAGCAGTAACAACAACGACAAACTAATATCGCTGCAATTATTAATATTATTGTTTCGTAACCTTGGTTACGGTTGCCATCGATATATTCCGTTGTCCGCAATTTTGGATTACTGTTTTGTTCTTGTTGTTGTTGTTGTTGTAGAAATCTATCAGCAATTGCTCGCACAGTGCGGGTATTTTGCTATATCCGCACTGATCGAAATCGCACTATGCAAGACCTTAAATTAAATATTTAACCATTGATTGAACTATTGTTTACTCATGTTAACTAAAACGATAAATTTAGATCTAGTTTACTTTTCCAATCTAAATCATCTATAATTTCGATAATTATAACTTAACGATTGATTCAACTATTCTTTACTTATGTTAACAATAATTGCTTTAATCGCACAGAGAGAAAGAGCAAAACGTTGATTAAGGTGTTGACTGTATTTGCGAGCGAGTGAATCAGACATGAAATATTATAGATTACGGAAATTATTGTCATTTCGAGCGCGATTTAAATTCAATGAGGTTTGTTTTTTGTTTTTTTTTGTTGTTGTTACGTATTCAATGGACAATGTAGCAAAAAAAAAACAAAAGCAGTAACAACGACGACAAACTAATATCGCTGCAATTATTAATATTATTGTTTCGTAACCTTGGTTACGGTTGCCATCGATATATTCCGTTGTCCGCAATTTTGTTTTTTTTTTTGTAGAAATCTATTAGCAATTGCTCGCATTTTGCTATATCCGCACTGATCGAAATCGCACTATGCAAGACCATAGATTGAACTATTGTTTACTCATGTTAACTAGGAACGATAAATTTACTTTTGCAATCTAAATCATCTATAATTTCGACAATTATAACTTAACGATTGATTCAACTATTGTTAACTATAATTGCAAGAAGATCAATCAATTAGTTCGGTTTTAATTTACAAATTTAAATTATCTATAATTGCAATGTTGATTGATTTGCTAATTATAACTAAACTATTGTTAAATGCAATTAACGAGTAAATTAACTATTTAACGATTAATTAAACTGTTGTTAAACGTATTGTAATGTAAGAAATCAATTATTTTACAATTATTTCCAAAAAATTGTAATGGAAACTTATGACTATAAATTCTTTGTTTTTAGGTATTTGGTCTTGGTAATAAGACGTACGAGCATTACAACGAGGTCGCGATTTACGCGGACAAGAGGCTAGAGGAATTAGGAGCGACGCGCGTGTACGATCTCGGCCTTGGCGATGACGACGCCAAGTAATGACGACTTCAACAAAGTTGCAAAACCGAATCGAAGATTAACGATAACTTCTTTTGCAGCATCGAAGACGATTTCATCACGTGGAAGGATAAATTTTGGCCGGCGGTTTGCGAGCATTTCGGCATCGAATCTACAGGTGAAGATGTGAGCGTGCGGCAGTACAGGCTGCAGGAATTCAAAGAGGAAATCCCCGAAAGAGTATACAGCGGTGAAATGGCCAGACTACATTCGCTCATCAATCAAAGACCGTAAGAAATCGAAAATCGATGATGTTGTGTGTATAATATTAATCGTTGTTTGTTTGCAGACCGTACGACGCGAAGAATCCGTTCCTGGCCAAGATAATCGTGAACAGGGAACTGCACAAAAGCGGCGATCGTTCCTGCATGCACATCGAGTTCGACATCGAGGGTTCTAAAATGCGTTACGATTCTGGTGATCATCTGGCCGTGTATCCTGTCAACGATACGGAATTGGTGGAGAAGATCGGGAAATTCACCGGGACGAATCTGGACACCGTCTTCACTCTGATCAACACCGACGAGGAATCGAGCAAGAAGCATCCGTTCCCTTGCCCGTGCTCCTACAGGACCGCTCTGACGCATTACCTGGACATCACGATGAACCCGAGGACGCACGTTCTGAAGGAGTTATCCGAATACGCTTCAGATCCCGCCGAGAAGGAGAGATTGCGATTGATGTCGAGCACGAGTCCGGAGGGTAAATCTTTGTACCAGCAATGGATCATCTCGGATAATCGCAACATCGTTCAGATCTTGGAAGATCTGCCCAGCTGTAAACCGGCTTTGGATCATCTGTGCGAGTTGCTGCCGCGTCTTCAGCCCAGATACTACTCGATTTCGTCCAGCCCCAAATTGTACCCGAACACCGTGCATATTACTGCAGTTCTCGTTCAATATCAAACGCCGACGAATCGCATCAATAAAGGTGTCACCACCACCTGGTTGGCAACTAAACAGCCTTCAGCGGGAAGCGAACTTCCCACTGTTCCAATCTTCATAAGGAAATCGCAGTTCAGGCTTCCGACAAAACCGCAAACGCCGATCATCATGATCGGGCCTGGCACAGGGTTCGCGCCCTTCAGAGGGTTCATCCAGGACAGGAATTTCGCGAAGGAGGAGGGCAAAGGCGTCGGCGAAACCATCCTCTATTTCGGCTGCAGGAAACGCTCCGAAGACTTCATTTACGAGGAGGAGTTGAGCGAGTACGACAGGAAGGGTGTGATCAGGATGCACTGCGCCTTCTCCAGGGATCAGCAGGAGAAGGTTTACGTGACGCATCTGCTGCAGAGGAACGCCGAAGAGCTGTGGCAGGTCATCGGCGAGAACAACGGTCACCTCTACATTTGCGGGTAAATAAATCAACAACAACAAATTTCCACACCAAACACAAACTAATTGCAATTTTCTTGCAGAGACGCGAGATCGATGGCCAGCGACGTCCGCAACATTCTTCTCAACATCATCCAGACCAAAGGTGAGATGACGGAGCAGCAGGCTCAAGCCTACCTCAAGAAAATGGAAACGCAGAAACGTCTCTCCGCCGACGTCTGGAGTTAAACAGAACACCTCTAATCTTTATCTCACCCACATTCCTCCTCCGAACAAAAACCAATTTTTTTTTAAACGAAATTTCGAAAAAATCCGTAAACGCAATTCAAGATTAGTTAAAACGAACATATTTATATAATACATAGGTGTTAGACTATATCTCTATATTGTTTTTTTTTTGTTTTTCATTCACTATAAATATAGATTTATTATTATTTTTTAATTAATTTAATTCTATTTTATTTCATTGAAAAATTTGATTTTTTTTTTGTTTGATATTATATTATTATTATTATTTTTACGATACGAAAAATCAATTAAATGCAATTTGTTATAAACTAATAATCGTTGGAAACTTCCCTTCTTTCGACACCAATTTATGCATATATATATATATTATTTTTCAATTAGCGGAGAGAGGAAAGTTTTGGAAGTTTTCCGACCAATGTTTCTAGCTCATAGTTATTTATATACAATGTTTTTATTATTTTTTAATTTTATTTTTTTTTTGTGAGAAATTATTATTTATAACTGTAACGGAATTCTGTTGCATTTTTCATTTCATTCCCTTCTCAATTTTGTTTCATCCTTCAATTTTTTTTCAGTAATTTGTGTTTGGAAAAAAAAATAAGTGGTGCCTTGAATTGCTTTGTTTTCCTTCTTCGATCGTCTCTTATTTTCGTATCTATGTGCGTGCGTGCTTGCAATTTGTTCGATAGAAAAACATGGTAATTTGATTCGAATTGCACTGTTGCGATTATATATGAGAACAAATGCATATTGTCACTTGATTTATTTTTCTTGGAACAATTCTTTGCATATAGTTTACATTCTCTACTCGCTCTTTGTTCATTTGTTTCAATGAGTAATCTTGATTAATTGTGAAATATTCCAAAAAAAAAAAACAATCACCATAGAAACACGAATATCAAAATACGTTTCTATAGAGACGAATAATTATATACAGAAACTAGTACAAAAGATACTAGATTTAGAAGGTATGAAAAATTAAAGAAATATTTGTTCTTTTCTATTAATTTTTTTTTAACTAATTTATATATATATATAATGAAATCCAGAGAAAAAAAAAACATATTTTACAGCTTATGTACAAAAAAAAAAACGTTATAACTCTAAAAATAAAATACATGAATCAATATTTAGATTAAATTAATTAAGAGATTAATTACTAATAATAATAATTATAAGAAAGCACGAGCAGAGATTGTGTAAGAAAATCTAGGTGGGCTGGGCAAAAAGAATCGATTGTTCGGTGCATTTAAAAAGAAATAATCGAAGTTGGCGTCTAATAATTGAAAAAGAAACAAAAGAAGATAGGAAACAGTGAGAAGAACGCTTCTAAATTTGTTACATTATTTAAATCTTAGGAACCTTTATATATTTTTTTTTTCTTCATTTCAGTCTTCCAGTCGGTTAGCGAACTAAACTAAAACAGAACAAACAAGTCTATAGATTGTTCACTACCTGAAGAAAAGCGATACAATTATAATAGTAATAAAGTGCCCAAAAATTCGATTATAATAAACAAAAGACCTCCAAGAAACAATTGAACTTGAATCCCCAAAATAAAACCTATAAACGAAACTAGTTGAGTTCACTTAATAATACATATATTTTTTTTTGTGTTTGTTTTTGTAATCAATAATAGAAAAAGGAAAAGTATTTGTCCTAATATTCAAAAAAAAAAAAAGAATACAATATATACAAAGACTCATTATATATAATATATAGCGGAAATCAAATAAACTTACAAATCTTAGTAAAAGAAGAAACTCATATTAATACATATATAATTGTTATTTCCTTCATTATCAAAAAACTCTCTCTTTCAGTTACGTTTCAACACTAACCCTAAAAAAAATTAATCAATTAATAATATGTATATAAAAAAATTGTGATAATAATAATAGAAAAAAATATTATTAAGTCTAAATTATCAATTTTTTTTTCCTTGTAATTTAAGCTTTGCGAAAACAATTTGAGCTATCCATGGAAGATTTGTTAATAACAAAAGATTGTTGGAAACAGTTAATTGGAGGATTTTGGATGATGATTAAAGGTGTGTTAATAAACGTATAACAAGAATGTTAATTGTAATTTGGACTGGGGGGAAACAATGGAAACACTACATGCTATGATCCTTATATAAATCGTGGAATACATGCATGTGTTGATAATAATTGATTAAGCACATCTTTTTTTAAATACAAAAGAAGAAATCGTCTATAAATCTACACGTTAATGAGAAGAAAAAAAAAAGAGTTAAAAGTAGAGAACGAATAAAATGTGTGTTGGGAGTTGTTTTTTTTTCAAACTCAAAATAATTATTGCCGAATTTTCGATATACCAATGAGAAAAATAAATGAATGCAATTCCGAAGCCGACCAACAAAACAATAAGGAAAAATAATAATGTTGACGTTACCGTGACAATGAAATACACAACGATTGAGAGAAAACAAACGAAAAACAGGGTTTTCTTTGTTTCGACCTCGCAGTAGGTTGTGGGGGGTTTTCGGAAACAAAAATGAATCGATTATGTGTTGTATACAAACAAACAAAAAAAAAGAAACGTATTAATAATAACAAATTGCTTGATTTGGGTGATCAAGTGACTATTTGAGGGAGGCAGAGGCGTGCCCCAATAAATAACTATGTTTAAAAAGAAATAATAGCAATAATAATAGTAATAGTAAGTAGTAATAATAATAGTTAATTAATTCATAATTATAAAAAGTAGAGTGCTCCGTTCGCGCGTATTTATAAAAGAAACAAAAAAAAAAGAGGAAACAGTTTTGCAATCCACCTCTTCTCTTCTTTTCACTTTTTTTTTCCCTCTTACGAGAGGACGCCACCTACGGCACCCTCCAACTCCTCCTCCTCCGCCACTACCACCTCTTCCTTTACATCCACGCACTCTGGACTCGTGATGTATTTGGCGAATCCTCTCTTCACCAGCTCATCGTTCAAAAAGATCACCTTCTGCAGAATGAAACAAAAAAAGTTAACAATTGATATATTCGTTTCGTGTATCAATTAATTACCTGGTGACCCACTAAAATGTACATTAAAACTAGCGGAACTCCATCTTCCGAGTAATCGGCTACCTGCGTCAGCGACAGTGTGCCTTTCACCTGATCCTTCACTAAACGGAGGGCTTCTTCTGACCATTCGTCTACACAACAACAACAAAAAAAAACAGAATGAAAATGTAAATTTAAAATGTTCTCAAGGAAACAATAACAATATTCCGTCAAAATGAATGTCTTTCAATCCCTAGGACTGTTGAATCAAAATTGGACTCTTGTTTTAGGACAGAGGGAGTATGATATAATAAGTAAAGTCTTACCATCGACTGGCCTAATATTATATAGATAGCACTCGGCCGATTGGAAAGGTAGAAGAAGCATATCTCCTCTGATCTGCTTCAGATATTTGTTCGCGATGCTGTAGTAACCGCCCAGATCGAGGAACGTCACGTAGGACGTTTCAGTTTTCGGATCGGAGGAGAGGACCATTGCCCTGTGCCATTCGCCATTGGAATATGCCACGCAGACGGTGTTGTCTGTAAAACGAGAAGAGACTCAGAATTACATGAAGAAACATGTCCAGAGATGAAGAGCATCATCACTCACCTGGAATAGGGGTTGACAGTTTGGGTGCGGGTCTTTGTCTACTGTTGTAGCAGTTGTTCATGCATCTGTTGAGCACTTGGAGGCAGGGGAACGTCGGATGTGTCGGCTGATGTACGAACAGATGATCGGGCGCGACCACAGAGCAGATGACCGTGTCATTGTTAACGCCTTCAACTAATTTCAACTGAAATCGGATTGAAATCAATAATGGATTAATGTCAAATGAGGATGATCTTACGTATAGATGCTCCGGAGATGGTATCTCTACGGGATCCGTGACGATGATGACGTGCTCCAACGTAATATCGGGGTATCTCTTGATGGGGAACTTGTTCCTGATCAAGCTCAACGCCTTATCAACATCATCTTGACATCCTGTAAGTTTTAATTTCAAGATTATAAAGTGTTACTATTAACGTAAATTTCGATTGTTACCCTCGATGGTGCATATTTTGAATTTGTGGGTGGTAGGGTGTTTCCTGACCACGATTTTGGTGTGCGATTTATCCTTGATATCGCAAATGCCGAAGCCGTAGCGACCGATCAGCTTTCCGACGAGCGCCTGAGGAATCAGGAACTCGTGTACGATCTGCAGACCGGAGATATCTCCGGAAGTGACGTCGCTACCGCCCTTGCCACTGTCGCTCGAACCCTCGCTGTGGCTGTCAGAGATGCTGCTAAGGGAGCTGCTGGCGTCCATCGGACTGTGATTGGCCGAATCCCTGTCGCAGCTCCGCCTCTCCTCGACCGTCCCCTGCTGCTTCTCAGCGAATTTGCTCTCAAACTTGACGCCGTCCTTCTTGCCGACCTTCTTCGCCGACTTTCCCTTACCCGCAGACTGTTGCTGCTTCGGTTTCGCCGAACACTGCTTCTTCGCGGACTTCACCATCGTCGACGGCTGCTGCTCTCCCGTGACCGGGGTGCTGCTACTACTCGGACCGTCGAACGTGTCCGTTGCCTTCGAGATGCTGTACGGCTCGAGGGTGCTCTTCTCCAGTATCACCTGCTCGATGTGCAGATCGAGATCCTCGTCGGACATGTTGACGGGGCTGGTGCGTTGCGAGCGCAGATTCGGCGGGATTATGATATCGATCGGTGCAGTCTCGACACCGGATAGTGATCGATTGAACGATTTGTTTGGTGACCCTGCCTGACTTTGCACCTCCTGAAGGGCGGCTTCCTCGAGCTCTTCGGCGAGCGTCTTCTCGGACCTTCTAGGTGATGTCTGCCGGGAACTTTCGCCTGGGTCACTTTGGCCACCTATCCTCTTCCTCCTGAACCACAAGTAGCTCAAGAAGATGGCGATCGTAGGCAGCGTGATGCTCAGTATTTGGCGGGATTGTAGAGGGACCATTTTTGAAATCCACGGTTAACACTTGAATTACAGACAAGATCCTACAACAACAAAAAAACAACAACAACAACATTAATAAACAATCGAATCAATTATTATAACAAACTAGATTTTGAGAATCGACGCGTGCTCAGAATATCTTTCTTTTTTACAAACACATTGACCTTTCTTCCCCATTAACATATTTCCATATTACAAGACGCGCACGTTCGGCCAATTTCGTTACACACTTTGGGGCCCGCTCAAGGCTGATCTATTGTTAATAATAATACTAGAATCAGAGCCAATTGCGTACAACTATCATTCATTCTATATTCAATTCTTCACTCTCGCTCATATTTATTAATACATCCACGAAGATCCCATCCAAGCCAAAAACCTTCCTCATGGCTACCTACTACTACTACAACACACGTCGCCTAAACAAGTGCTAATCGTACAGATAAACACATTTCAGTTACATACGAAATCTCACAAACTTTAATCTAGTCACAAATGAACTAAACGAATATGAAAATATCATCGAAACGCAACCGGAAACTTGTAAATGAACTTCCTGCTCGCATTTCATTCAAAATTTCAATTCAACAACAACAAATAAAAAATCATCACATTGTGCAACCAAACGCAATATTTCAAAATATCATTCTAATAACAACTAGCGCAAACGCAATCACCTTTACCGCCAGAACAAAGCTAATTACTACTTGACATTCATCATGTTTTCTTTTTTAATTCGTACACAACACATACCAAACTTCCTGTTTACGAAACAAAAAAAAAAAACTTTTGACTCGTCGCAAAACCGCAAACATACTAGATAGATAAAATTAAATTAATTCAACGACCGGCAGAATTCTACGCATACACGAGAGTTCCAATGTCGCCGTTTAAATGCCGTCGCAGCACACTCGGATCTTGACCATTGAGAAATCGTGACGTAACCAGACGCGCACAAGAAACTTAATAAATTTAGTTTCCACCGAATGAAAAGTAGAAGAAAAAAAAAGTAGAAATGTTTATCGGAATTTATTAGATGGAAGAATTGGGTCAGCAGAGTGTTTCGACACAGCAAAACCGTGGATTATGTGTTTAAAAACAAACAGACGTGAGATGTACGAATTGCTGAAAAATGAATTCATCTCCGAACATTACACGAAACAAGTGTGTTTGTTTGTTAACTGTTGAATGATTAATTATTAAATAACGTTAAAGCAATTAAGCAAATATTAAGTATATGAAGACAGACACAGCGCAATAAACAATAATTAATTATTAAAATCAAGAGTAAAATTGCAAGAACGAATACGACTCTGAATAATGACGTTAACAAATGTTGTTTATGTTTTGTAGCTGATAGACGAAGTGTTTGTTTACACTGATCGTCGAGGAAAAGGTGTGTTTATTTCCAGATAAAAGTAGTAAGCGTTTTCGCGTTTCTATTTACTTACTTCCCCCCTTCTTTTTTAAACTATGAACCAACCGATTCTTAGCTCTCGTATTTATTGCACGCACAATTGTCGAAAGGCCACGTGGTAATTCAAGAACGTAACTAAATGAGAGACCGCTCGCTCATCGATTTTCCCAAACCCACGTTGCGCAAGATGAAGAAACCGCATGGATTCGGAGGAGAGATTGAAGAGGGGCGTTGTCCTGCAGTCAAAAACAAGAGGGAAAAAAAAACATACAAGCTGAACGATTTGCAGGGCGCGTTTTCCGTTTCGTGTGTTTTTCTTTGCGTTTTACTACGATGTGTCCGGTTGTATAGTTCTACTACACGCGCGTCGTAGTGCAGAGTAAAACTGAATGAATTCGCGACGGCCACGTGGGGGACGGCACAAACGGCCTTCCACAATGCGATCGATGATGTGAATAAGCCGGGAGGGGCAGACGCGGCGCGCTCCACCCCAACGTTGCGTACGGCGAAGACTTTCCCGAAAAATCTCCCTCAGACACCAAAATCCCGCACGAGCGCGAAAAGGGGATGAAAGAGAAAATCCTCCGTTTCATCAAACGTTAGGGTGGGTCCCGTTTACGGACACCCCCTCTGCATTTACTTTAGGGACGAAATTAAAATCAATACAATCTCACCCTAACAGTTATTGTGCGACTGTAGACAACAACAACAAAAAACTAGTATATTCGGATCGATAACCGCATCAACACAACCACTTTGCGAACACTCATTCATACTACACTTTTACTATACGGAGAGTAATATATCATGGTTCAACTTAAATATATTGAGAAAAACATTTCAAGTTGTTTTGTAAACAACATCTATTTCCGAAAGAAAATCACTCAGTGATCCGTGATCTCATAATTCAATTGTTTTTGAGAAACATGCAAATCTAAGCTACCTATGAATTAATGAAAATTATACATAGATTATTTTCGCCCTTCAAATTAACTTATGCATATTGCACATACATTAAAATATCGATAAAAGAAAGCGAGAACTTTGGCATTGGCATTTAACAATTCGTTTAATATCTAACATTATGCAAGAGATGTCTTCTCGTGGTGTTTTATTAAACTCGAGCATTTACAATTAGCAAATTTTACGAAATAATTTAAGTTCAATATCAACGTTAACATCTATAAAGTTTGTTTTTTGTTGTTTTGTTTTGTTTCTAGGAAACCCTAAGACCAGTCGTTGGCCTTCTACGATTCGAAACGGACACACACAGTTTTCTAAATACTTTCATATATATATACACACAAAAGCGTGCGTAACATTTAAATAAATATTAATAAAAAAAAAAATCTCAGTAAGTTATGTAAAGTTTAAATGTTAATCGAAAACAAATAAATCGTAAGTTTATAGCAGCGTTTCTCAACCTCGATTCATTTGACAGCTGTCACATTAAATTGAAACAATTGAATCGCAGTATCAACTACGTATTAACGTTTCTTAGAAACGGTCGTTAAGGACATTCAACGTTAAGTTAAAACGACTTAAGTTAACGACCGTTAAAGAAAACTTAACAGCGCAAAGTTAAAAACCGGATTTGAAAACACACAATCAATCAAACGACCGGAAATTCTTATGAAAACGCAAACAAACATCAAGCGAGATGAAAAGATTCTCGTTGATCATCGTATAGAGAGAAGATTCGATCCGGTTTTTCCGTGCACTTGATTTTCGGTCGACCTTTCTCTTTCACTCTTTCTTACACGTTGTCAATACCCTTGTTTTTCTTTCTTTATTTCTTTTTCGTTGCATGAAAGGCGAAGAGATGTTGTCCCGAAGTAATTTTAATTGGAAGGACCACGTCCATCCAGTTCACTTCACTTCACTACCGGTTTGTGAGAACCGTACAAAAAAAAGAAAGAAAGAAAGAAGAATCGAAAACCGCCTCTACTCTCAGAGTGGAGAATGCACGTGAAGAAAACGCAAAGGGTAAACGTAATTACGGTCAAAACATTCTTCATTTCTCTCTGCAAAAGACAGTTAATTTTATGTTCGATCAATTATTGAAACTCATTCAATTATTCTGCTTCAATTACATTCATTTAAGCGATTATTGAATCAAGTAAACTACAATGTAGTTATCAAACTTTTTCTAAGTTACTAAGTAAAGAAAAAAAAACGTAACAATGCTATTATAAATTTAGTTAATACTATTTAATCCAAGTTCAAATAGCATTTTCTTTGTCTTTAAACTAAATCTGGATTCAAACATTTGTTAAGTTTATTGTCTATATAATAATTCTAACTTCTGCTGCTGTTGTTTGTGTTGAGCTCGATACGTTTTATGGAACACGTAGTGGACGATTGAATTTGTTGTGAATGAAATTTACCTGTTCGGATTGATTCCACAGGTAGGCCGAACGCGTACAAATGTGCACGTTTTTCGATGATGACGCGACACCAAAAAAAAAGTTTTTTTTCTAAACTCTACATCACTATTAAGTCATCGATTACATTTAGAACATGCCTAGTCTATGTCAACAACAACAATACACCAAATATATACCGGAAATACTTAAAACATTCACGTTTTCTAAAACTCAAATCCATAAATATCGATTAAAATGAATTGAGATCTAAATGTAACGTGTATCAAAACTACATTACGTTACGTTTACGTAAGGATTATAAACGTAATCAATTGATAAAACTAAGCTGAGAATCAATGAATGTTTATGTAGTAAAATTGCGTGTGCGAAAGGCTAAAAAAATGTCGATTTTATTATAGATTTGCGCGAAAACGAAGCGATCCGTAAGGAATAACAAAAGGCGCAGTTACGTAACCGTACGCGGCCGTGCTTTTCTCGCGCGTACGTATCCTTCTTTTCCACGTCCTTTCCAAGGCCAAATTCCGACGCTCAAGAGGTGAGAAAAGAGAACTGTACCGGCCGGCCGCGTTTCAACTTTCCACAACTATTCAGGTCAGCAAATAGTATAAAAGCATTATCATTATTATTTTGATTCGAGATAAAAGCAAATTGAGAAATCAATGCGACTTGTCTAATTAAGTAAATAATACAACCAAAATATGAAAAATTTCCGGAAAACATATCAATAAAAACGTATACATTATCCTCGTAAAAATGGAGGAGATATGCGTTTTCGAAGCGAAGGGATCGATCTGTTTTCCAACTTTTTGCGAAAACATCTTTCTCGAAGAGCGTGAACTTCTTTTCTCCCGATTATATATATATATATATATACAAGTACATACAACAGTTTCTCATTGGAACGCAAAAGCCGTGCCTTTCCAAACACTCACTCACTCAGCGTGAATTAATTAATGGCTACACGCTTCTTTCATTCCTCCTCTTTACTTCTTCCGCTCACCATCCGCAACCACGCGATTCAATCTAAATCTAAAAAAAACGCAACGTGAGGTATACAGGATTCCGATACGAAAAAACATATAAAAAAAACAATTAATACTGTAAAAACAATTAATTGTTTAAAAGAAAAACAACAACAAATTAAAAAAAAATCCAATTAACAAAAGTATTGGCATCAAATCGAAAAACGTGCTCTTCACGCTTCACATTGCTCCATTTTTGTTTTGTTTTCGTAATC